TTTTACCAATTTTAAAACAAAAGTTAATGTTAACTCATTGTTCGAAGCTTATTTTCGCACTGATAACACAAACATACATACACTTAAAACGCAATAACTTTACTTCCAATCAATGAAATGTCATGATATTCTCACTGGACAATCGATAAAAAATAGTAGATTCTAGATAGGAAGAAATTTAAATTTTTTAGTGTTTTCTGGTATTCCTCTATTTCCACCTTGTCTATCAGTCGGAATGTTCCTGTTTAAATTTTAATTTATCCTGTACTATATAAATGTAACTAGTTGTGAATTTGTATAGTCTATTATACTAAAGTCAACGTACACCAAATGTACAACAAAAATCTGTAAAATTAAAATAGAGGAAGATATGTAGCAAGGTCTTGATGTTGCTTTTTTGTACCATTCGTCCTTGTTCTGTGATTACGACACCATTTGTCTTTCTTCTAAGTCCTTGATTTGTTGTTTTCTTAGTGTTTCTATATTTTCTCGTCTTGAGTTTTTATATTGTTGTGGGTTTATTGAAACCGGCTTCCAAAAAAGTTTCTATTGGTCTTTTCCCGGTTGTAGAATGTATTGAGTAATTACAACGATCTAAAAGTCCTTGAAATGCGTGATGGGTGAAGACAACACATAATTTCTGAAAGTATGGAGTGAAATCTTTCGACTTGTCCATTGACTTTGATAGCGTATGGGGGTGTTTTGAAAACGTTAATACCAAGTTGTATTAAAGCTGAGTTTAGGGATTTTTCATTATCTATAACTTTAGTTTTCGGTACACCAAAAATAAAAGTATTTATCGCAAGAGTTCTCTGATACACTCTATTGCTTTTGATGTCATTATTACGGTAAGTACAAGATTTTTCTCTGTGCTGTATATGTCTAGATGAACTATGTCACCAGGGTATTGTAAAATAGGGGCTTCAAGAAAATGTGGTTTATTAGGATGACGTTCGTATTTATTTTCTTTACAGATTTTGTATTGTTTAATTATAGCTTCTATTTTTGCTTTCATTTTTGGAATTTAATTTTGTATTTTCGTCTCTATTTCTGTGTGCGCGTTTATGTTCTTTTAATATTGTTTCGTTTTGAATGTCCTCGTTCGTAATGTCATCAACTTTCGTTTGAGTATATCGAATTTTATAATTACAAAAATAAATTGGGTGAATTTGTTGAATTATTCCCATTATTCCTTCGGTGATAAATGGCAAGTTTAAGTAACTTTTAATAATAATACTAATACCCATCGATTACCCTCCTCCCGCCCAACCGACGCGAGGGGCGCAATCCGCGAACGAGCGGAATTAGCCGACTCATAAAAGGCAAGGGAGTTTTAAGCGTTGCGATCTTAAGCTGCTCAGATACAGAAAAAAAAATTTCAAAGGCCTAAACTAAGAATTAGATTAAAGTTTATAATTTTTAAATATTACTTGTTAAGAGTAGATAAAATAATTTTTTTAATGGTAAAGAGTGAATCTGTTAGATCAAATGTGCTGGAATGAGATTTGAAATCGTGACATATACGAGGGAATGGTTCGTTTAACTCGAAATTTGTTCTAGAAAATTTTAAAAGTAAAGGTCTAAACTGTGTGGTAGAGTGAGCGGGAATGTTAAAATTAATRTCAGACAAGAGAGATGGGCTACAGACTGACCCATTGATGAGTTTTACAAGAAATATTATACCAAGGATTTCCCTACGACTAGCGAGTGTAGAGAGATTTGTAAGCTTTAAACGGTTAGTGTAAGGGGAAGATTTAAATTGGAATCCCAATGCAAATGATTTAAGGCAAAAAGTAAAAATTGTTTTTGAACGGACTCTATTTTCTCAGAATGAACTTGATAACAAGGATTCCATACCACGGAAGCGTACTCTAATATAGGCCTCAACAAAGATGTAAAAAGAATTTTTATGCTAAGCGGATCTCTAAATTCTTTAGACCAACGTTTAACAAAACCAAGAGCACCTTTAGCTTTAAAAACCATGGAAGATGTGTGAAGATTAAAATTGACTTTGGGGTCCATAGTTACTCCCAAGTCAACAAAACTGCATACTTACTCCAACCYAAAGTTTTGTATTACGTATGAAGTAGGGTCTACAGATCTACGTGAAAAGCACATYGTTTTACATTTTTTAAGGTTCAATGGCATGTCATTTCTAACACACCAAGAAACTAGGTAGTTTAAGTCTGTTTGCAACTGACATCCTTCGCTGTTCGGGGCGAATGATTTAAAAAGTTTTACATCGTCAGCATACAATAAAACTTTTTTGAAACTCTTTTAAAAAGTGAAATTAGGTTTTCTGAGGAAAATTTTTGTTTATTTTTTACAAGTATGTAGGGAATGCATTTTAAATTGGTAACTATCTTCGTCTCCTAAAAAGATCCAAATTTGGGTTTTTAAAACATTTATGGGTACTTCTACGGCAGGAATTGCGCTGTCATCTGAATGTGTGGCTATTGATAAAGAATTTATTTCAAATGCAGTACCTGTTACTATGTTGGCTTTAACAGGTTTATATCTTAATTCGTAATTATACTCTTCAAGTATGGCTTTCCATCGTTTAAATTTAGAGCAACTGTTTTTATTGCTTAAGGCATATGTGAGAGGTCGATGGTCTGTATGGATTATCACATACTTTAGCCTTTCCATAGAGATAATTTCTAAAATTATTTAATGGCAAATATTTCTTTTTCATTGCATGAAAAAATGTTCTGTATTTTCCATCCTGTTCTAAGGTAGCACCTATGACATATTTTGAAGCATCTGTTGTTAAATCAAACTCTTTTTTATAAATTAGATATTGAATGACGTCTTTCGATGTTAATGTGGATTTTATTTTATTATTGTTTAATTGGATTGTTTTGGAAACATTTTTTAACATACTACCTTCTTCGCTACGAAGTAGAATTGTGAGGGGTTTCTTAACTTTGCGTACTCTTTTATGAAATGTATCACGATAGTACTAACAGTGATCTAATGTCTTTAAGTGTTTTGGGTTTGAAAAATCTGCAATAGTTTTTACTTTAGATGGATGTGTGGAAATACCAGTAGAAGAAGTTATTAATCCTAAACATTCTAATTGATTCTTATAAAATCCACATTTGTGTGCTTGTACCTTCATATTAGCTTTGCGTAGTGTATGTAAAATTTTGTCAAACTGCTCTGAATGTGTTGTTGTTGTTTTTTTTGGTAAAAATTATTATGTCGTTTATATGGACATAACATATTTTTCCTATAAACTGTTGCAGAATGTCGTCTAATGTACGTTGGAAAATGGATGAGGCGTTCTTCAGTCCAACCTACCTTTTGAACTCGTACTTTCCGTTGCTCACTGAAGAGGCTGGTTTCAGATATCTTAAGAGGAATTTGATGGAAACCGCTTTTTAAGACGATTACTGAAAATATTCTGTTTTCTCCTAATTGGGATAATATTTCGTTTATCTCTGGTATCGGACATCTGTCAGCAGTTGTAACTCTATTTGGCTTTCTGAAATCAATAAAGAATCTGAATTTTTTTTTCGCCTGATGGATCATCTTTTTTGGGCAGAACCCATATTGGTGAGTGGTATAGTTTTCTTAATTTTCTGATAATCATATACATAATAGCTTTAAACTACCGGGATATGGGTATGGTGTAACTGAATTTGTTCTAAATTCCGCTTTACTTTACTTTTGTTGTGTACGTTAGTTTTTGTTAAGTTCTGAAAATAGGTTTCGGTGTTTTTGTACAAGTTGTTTAATTTCGGTTTTTTTCTGAAGTAATCGTATGTTCGTCACGGATTTGAATAGAATACATCTTGCGCTCTATACTGATGGAATTGAATTTTACGTTTGTTACGATCATGAATGTCTTAAGTATGTATTATTGCTGACAATGCCTTAAAACTACCATTTAAGAGAATTGAATAGAAATTTGTAAGAGTGGGTAGAGAAAAAAATTTAATTTGCTTTCTTTGGATATTAAAAAGGTTTAGAAAAGTGTGATGAGTAATGTGTATTTTATTTGGTAAAAAGGGTTATTGTTTTCTTTGGGATTTCGTACTAAGTTTGATTGTATATAGTTTTTATTGGAACCTGTATCAAATATAATTTTTAAATTTTTAATTCTTTGTTTTGCAGTTAAAATAAGGTAACGAGGTACTGTTTAAATTAAAAAAAAAGGTTAAAAACAAACATACATATATACAACATACATACAAGTAGGGATGGCAACGGCTAATCATTTGACTAAATTAATTGATTATTTTCATTAAATTTACGATTTAATTGCATCGAAACATCTTTTCTAATTACTCGACTATTATTCGAGTAACTGCAAAATAATCGCAAACAGCATTTTGAAATTTAATACGGTCAGTCATTAATGACTGGAAACATTTACAGTTAAAGGTTGGTATCCAGTTCTCAAGTAATTGCTCAAGAAAAAAAAAATAAATTAGGGGTATTCGCTCGCTCTTGCAAAACCCTTGCATGGTGCAAGAATTGCATATATTTCCTCTTGGTGCACCGGCACAAAAACAAACACACGCAGAAAACTATTTGCAATGGCTGTAAAATATGTCAGACCAAAACCCATGTATATTCGTGTGCAATGTCATGCAAAAATATAATTGCAACCCTGTTTTAGCTGGCATTTTACATAAAGACATATTACGTCGTTAAATTGTTGAGGAAGGTAAGTTCTAAATAGAGTTTATAATTTCTATTTAAATTATAAAGATTTGTTACATTTTTTTTGTTAAAAATGTATGCAGAAGGTGCGCCAATTCACAATAGCCATTCACAATAAATTGATCGAATCAACCGATCATATATCACTAGATTTTGCAATGGGTGCTCTCGTGCCTCATAATAATGAGTTTATTCAAATACTTTGCAGAATTTAAAATTAAAGCATGCAACTGTGGCCTGCAAATTGGTGGTAAGTTGCAGCAATCGGTATTACATTTTAAATTTCTTCTAGTTATATATAAATATATGTGTACAAAAACAATGTTTCTCTAAGTGGTGATGACACTGACACCATGATTGAAATGGTTGCACCAGCGAACCATTTAATGGAAGCCCTTTGAGTGAGGACCAAGCTTCAGCACCAAGAAACCGAATGAAAGCAGCATGATAGAGCTACCCAGCTGTATCAGTAAAAATCCTCAACCCCTCATTTCTAAAGTCTTCCAAAATATTAAAAACTTTTCGCTTCATGGCTCAAAGATCCAAAAGCTACAGCATAGAATGGTGGAAATGGTTATCAAGGATACTCTAACTTTTGACGCTGTTGAAGGTATATAAAAATACATTACAAAACAAATTGATAATTAATGATGCTTTTTGTTAATTTATTTTTTAAAAGGTAAAAGCTTCTTAAGTTTTATGAAACAACATTTTCCTCTTTACAAAGTCCCAACAAGAGACAAAGTACAGGCTCACTTTGAAAAAATGTACGATGAAGAAAAAGAAAAAAGTGTAGAAATGCTAAAAACTTTTTCATATTTGAGTTTAATGACAGATATCTGGACTGATGTAGAAATGAATAGCATGCTTAATGTGACCATTTGTGGTGTAAATGGGACGAAGCAATTTAATGGAACAATTGGCATTTATAAATTAACGGAAGCACATACTGCATCACATATTTGCGAAGTTGTCATTGCTGCTTTGAAAGACTTTTCTATTCACGAAAAACAAGTAATGGCTGTAGTGACCGACAATGGTGCAAATATCGTAAAAGCAGTATTCATTCATTTGGTAAAAAACGAAATATTCCTTGTGTTGCACACACCCTCAATTTGGTATGTGAAAACTCACTAAATAATCCTGAAGTAAATGCAGTTATTGTAAAATTCAGAGAAATAGTTAAGTGGTTAAAAAAAAGTGTTAAAGCTAATGGTGATCTTCGAAATATGCAAGCTGCTGCCGGAGTAGCTGAACGCAAAATGCTAAAGACAATTTTATACCTGCAAACACTTCGGAATTCGACCTACCACATGCTTGAACGTTTCATTAAACTATGTTCATATAATATATTAACCAAATACTTCTCAACTATTCTGACGAACCGGTAATGATAACATCTAAGGATAAAGATGATATCATGGATATACTCAGTATATTGAGACCATTAGAGGCAATGACTGTACAACTAAGTGGTGAACAACGAGCAACTTTAAGTCAAGTGATTCCATTAGTTCACTGTGGTCGGGAACAAATAGTGAGAATAACAGCTAAACAGCCAGTCGCTGAAAAACTAAAGATGTCGTGTTAAATCAGTTTGATCGTAGATTTGGCTACATCGAACATTACTCGACCCGAGATTCAATATAATTCATTTCAAAGACCCATTAGCGTTGTCCCCAGTTATAAAGTTCTTATGTACTGAAATAACAGTGGCAGATGATACTATGGAAACGGGCAGCGGGTCGTCAGTGGAATCGGCAGAGAATGAGTTTGACCTTTTGGCTCCTCACAAAACTCTAGTGCACAAAAGAAGTAGGAACGACAAGGATTTTATATCTCCACAAGATGAATTGAGCTTTTATTTGAATTGTCAGATATTAGAAATAAGTCGAAACACTATTAATGCTTGGGAAGAAATGAAAACCGTTTACCCAAAACTGTACGGACTTTCAAAAACGTATTATTATCTACTTGGTACCTCAGTACCAGCTGAGCTGAGCTGCGTCCGAAAAACGCAATGGTTTGACAATAAAACGTTTATCGAAATTGCTTTTTCTTCAAACTTGGTTGAACAGAGAATACATTTTCTTGACTTCAATGAATATATTTTCATTTAAGCTAAGACAAATGAATTTTTAATACGATATTTAAATTTTATTTCCGTTCTTGTTTTTGCGCACTATATATACCAACATAATTATAAATATTAAATCGTATTAAAAATGAACATCTGTAAGGTCTCTTGATTGTTTGTTTTCGTCGGTTTAATTCACAAGAAAGTTTGAACCTTTGGTTTTAGTTAATTTTTGTGTGAAAAATTTGCTGGTCGTTTTACAGTTGATTTGGGATTTGGTTTATTGGCAGAGCATTTGTTCTACGTCCATTGGTTGAGGTGGTTTTGGAGGACGATTATTTGGTGGCTGGTTAGATAGATTTTATTCGTGGTAATCATGTTGATGACTGGATATTGCAGATAGTGTTGTTGGCCGTAAGGATTATAGATTTCAGTTGGTTTTGGTATGAAAGCTAATTTGGGTTAAAATTCGGTTTGAGGAAATGGTTGGTTCAAAGTTGGAAAAAATTTCTGTTGTTGGTATTGTTGTACAAAATAAAGAAGCATTCTCTGCGTCACATATGCATGATTATTTTGTATCACATGAACCATTTTTTTCAGATAARTGATAAATATGTTAATCTTTTTACAAAATCGCGAAAAATTAAATAAAAAATAATTTTATAAAAAATATATAAATATATATATTATTTTATAAAAAATAATAATTTTATTTTATTTTTTACTTTTTAAATTATTTCAAATAAATTATATTTATTTCGACTATGACAAAGTGAAGTTATTCAAAATGGACTTCATTTCTTCAAAGAAAATTGATGACCTTCACGAAATATGCATATTCGCAYTATTTCGTTATCATTTCCATATTTGTAGCAATAGAATTTCTATGGCATACATATGTATATTATTTCTTTGGCACATTTGTCTGTATGTCTACGAAAGCAAATGCGAGCCGCATACATATGTACATACATTCATAATAACAAGTGCCGCACGCATCTTTCGCATCTCCGTTGCCACGGTCAGCCAATGGCCGAAGCTCTCGTATTGTCAAAGACTCATCACAACGTTGAGAAATTCCGAGCTGTGCCGAAAGAAACTAACAAACGATCGGCGATTGTTATCGCTTTCCTTGCTGCTCGAACAGCTTGGCCCACAAGCTAGCGTATACATATACGTATGTTTTTGTATGAGCGTGCATACATATCGACGCTGATTTTTGCGAGCCACGGAAAAATATTTTAGAATTGACAAATATTGTAAATCGACAACAGCTATGTTGCCACTTTTCTCACTTAGAACAAACACCAGAAAGATGTTCACTTGATGATTTTTAGGTTTTGCCATCGTCGCGAAAAGACGCTTGTTGGCAAAGGCATCCTCGGGGAGATGTTACGGTATCTGTTTTTATGAATGAAGCGAGGTCGCTTGTGGAATTTGCGTCTGCGCTTATGAATGAAATCGTTTTTGTTGTAAAATTTACTATATTTGTTTTCGCCAATTTGGCTGCTAATTTGTTTTTTTTTTACGAGGAGGAAGCATCAAAAGCCTGGACCCCATGTCAGTGTGGAACTTTAATCCGAACTAAACCTCCTACCGTCCTGTTCCGTTCCCCCCGGTACTACCGTCAAGTATTACGTCAGGAGGATGGTTGAGTGACACTCATGTGTTCGTGATGGTCCAAATACATTCAGTTACACGTTGCATTTACTTGGCCCCACCTCTGTTGGTCTGATAACCCCCCTTGTACATTGTTCGACACCAACCCTTCCCGTCACGTCAATGTTAGTKTGTTTGGGTCGTGGTTGTTCGTTACATTAACAGCTCTCTTCTCCGCCGCTGTTCGCTAGCACGTTGGGATTTCATAACCGTGGCTGCCACTTCGCAAGCAGTTTTCCACTTCTCTACTGATTCAATAATTTTTTTTACCAAGTTATCAGGAGTTGGGTCTACACCGAACGCATTTTTTAAGTGATGCCTCTCATGTTTATATTTCGGACAATAGAAGAATGTGTGTTATGCATTTTCGATGGTATCGCCTCCGCAATAATCGCATGTGTCGTTATTTTCGTGTCCGAAGCGTTTCAAATATGCTTTGAAGCAGCCATGTCCTGTGAGTATTTGTCTGTTCAGCCATGTTTCAACGTTGGGGATCAGTCGGAATGTCCACCGCCCATTTTCGCTTTCGTGCCAGCGTTTTTGCCAGTGATTCACCGTCTTCCGATACTGTGCGGAACGCAGAGCATACTCTCAGCGCGCAAGTGGCATATATAAAAAAAAGGCCACGGCGATAAGATTTTGTTTCGAGAGCTTTTTCCCAAATCTGGACGCCGTACAGCGCGACTGACTTTAATACACGAGCTAAAAGTCGTCTTCTAATTTGCTTTGGTCCGCGGGTATTTAGCATTAACCGGGTCAAGGCTGTGCCCACTTTAGTAGCCTTTTCGCATGTGTACTTCAGGTGTTCCTTAAAGGATATCCTTGCGTCAATGATTGTGTATTTTGTATTTTTTGTAGCCCTGATTTGTGTTATAGCATAGGGTCCTATCGTTGAAGTAACTGACTATCAGGTTGGGGAGATATGTCGGTACAGTAAAGTTTTTCAACGCTCTTAGTATACTTGGCCATGATGCCGTGTTGAAGGCATTTTTGACATCGAGGGTTGCAACCATACAGTATTTGATGGTGCCACCTTTCCAACTTTTCCCCTAATGACATTTTCTGCCAGTGTCTTCACTAGGGTCACCGCTGAGATTGTTGATCTTGCCTTCCTAAATCCAAATTGGTTTGGGGATAAACSGCCGGCGTCGTCAATGGCCTTACTTAAGCGTTGATAAATGATCCGCTCAAGAATTTTCCCCGCTGAGTCCAACATGCAGAGTGGTCGGTAGTGGGACGGGTCTGTCAGAGGTTTGTTAGGTTTTGGCAGCAATATTAGGTGTTGCCTCTTCCAAATTGTTGGGAAATAGCCATCCTGTATGCATAAATTGAAAAGTGCTTTAAATGGGTCTATGTTCCTAACAATCGCGGTTTTAAGCGCTATATATGGGATGTCATCTGGTCCTGAGGCTTTGCATGGGTCGAGCCGGTCGCATGCCTCTATAATTTCTTCGTTCGTTACTTCCTGTATCAACTCTCTTTGTTGCACCACCGCGATMTCTSGAGGTAGTTGGGGTCGGGTCGGGAAAAGGACTGAAACAATTCTGTCAAGGGTTGTAGCGGAAGTTGGCATTTGACCTTGAATGCGTAGTTTCCCCATCACGGTCTAGTATGCGAGCCCCCAGACATTGTTTTCAGCATCGTCACAGAGTTTGAAAAAACATTCCTGTTTACTCTTTTTGATAGCCTGTTTCAGGAGCTTTCTCTTGGCCTTGAAACTTGCTTGTAGAGAGTTGTATTCGTAGGTACCACGAGACCTTTGGTATAAGCGTCTTACTYTTTGGCATTCTTTTCGCAGTTTAGCAATTGAGTCGTTCCACCAGTAAACGGGAGGATGATGATTGCACCGTGGAAGCTTCGACATTGATATGTCGCATGCACTCTTAATGCGGCTCATAATCAATGAAGTCGCCTGGTTAACCGACCGCAAGTTGTCAGGCAGGGTGGCGGGTCCAAAGGCTTCTTCGAAGATGTCTGGGTCGCAATGAACTTCTTGTTAGGGTCTGCAAAAGGAGCCGTGTTTGCGGACAGCCGTGCGATTGCGATCTACGAACTAGGCTTGAGTTTACGAAAGTAAGATCTATCACTGATTGTCGGCCGGCTTTGTTGAACGTGCATTGGTTACTTGAGTTGAGTAGCTCAAGATCAAGGCAAGCAAAAGCTTCTAGTAAAGCTTTTCCCCTACTATTAGTTCTTTTGCATCCCCCTTCCATAGCCCTGGCATTAAAATGGCCAGCTATTACCAATTTAGTTCTACCTTGGGCCTCGGTCACAATGCTGTCGATATTATTCTTAAATTCTTCATAATTGTTGCTGGGGGGTAAGTAGTAACTGTAAATATGTATGTCGCTAACTTTAGCTCGAACAAATCCGTTGAAAGAGCATGACTCCAGTTGAGGGAAGCTAGGGTTACATTTCCATACCGCCACCTTATTTTTGATGTCACATAACCAATTTACACTCCGCCCGGTTTTGTATGGTTCGCTGAGTAATGCCAAGTCGATCTGCTTTTCAGCGATCGTCTGTTTTAGCAGGTCCTGTGCCGCTTGACAATGGTTAAGGTTGAGTTGTAAAAATCTCATACGACCTGTTTATGTCTACTTGCCTTCTTATATACCGGACACCTGACGCTTCCAGTGAAATGCTCAGTTTCTTTGGATCCTGACTTCAGGCAGATTAGACATTTCGGTTTATTGGTGCAGTCCTTGGCCTGATGTTCACCTTCGCCACATCTTCTGCACATCCTAGACCTATCCTCGTTTGTGCACACTTTCGCTGTGTGTCCATTGTCAAGACACCTGAAGCATCGCTGCGGCTGTCTATGTTCCCGGATACGGCAGATTACCCACCCGACTTTCAGCTTTATACTTTGTAGTAGCTGTCTAGCTGCTTCAACCGGGAGTTTTATGAGCGCAGTTTAAGTGTCTCCGTAAGCCTTTCTTATGCTCTTAATTGCTGAGATCTCAACTCCTTGTCTCCCAGCTCTTTTTGCAGAACATGGAGAACCTATTCCTTACTGGTGACTTCATCCAAGTCTTTACACTCAAGTAGGATCGCCTGGGTCAACAATTTAACGTTTGCTTGGTCATCAAGGCATTTCTTCATATTTTCGTGCGAGTTGGTTGGTATCACTGTACCACTTAGTTGAAGCAACATTTCTCCGCCTTGTGTTTTGCGTATTTTGGTTACCATGTTACCGAATGCGTTCAGATTAGAGTCAGTATTAATCTTGTGATGCTTGCGTGCCCAACTGAGTTGCTGGTAGCGACTTGATAGTGCCTTCTAAATTGTTTGTATTGACACTGTCCTTCATCTTAATTGATCGTTTAAACTGACCAATCAGATTTGTTGTCGCCCGGGTTTTTGGCCAATTAAAACATGTTCGTTTCGTTTGCTGTTGAGTCTGCTCCTCTGCTATTGGTTCTTCCGAGCACTTTGCGCGGCCTCTTTTCGGCTGCGTAATCGGGAGAGATACCGCCTCTCTAGCTTCTTTTGTTGCTTGCTTTTGCAGTTGCGCTATTTGGTCTTTTAAATTTCGCATGTGCTGGTTGACATGTCTTTGCTTCTGGCTGTGCGTGAGGGAGATTAGCTCATCTATTAGCACTCCCAGAGCGGAGAGCGCGTTCTCTCCTTCGCTCATTGTTACCATAAAATCACTGCTATTGATTTTGTTTGCTGAAGACGTGTTGACTACGCTGGGGTCGTTAGTCGAAGCTAAACCATTGTCAACAGGAGTCACCCCGCAGGCAGATGGTTTAGTAATTTTAATACTCTGCAATAAGGGCATTGTTGGCTGACGGTCCGGCGATCGGGGAGTCTAGTCTTGTTGCTCCGTGTGAATGGGCTTGTTGCTCCGTGTGAATGGGCTACCATCCTCCTTATTACCAGTAAAGGTATTTGCCTGTTTGGCTTTAGCTGACATTTCTCAGCTACGCCTGCAGCAATCCTTTAGTACTGGTGATCACAGAAATTCCTCAGGAATAAATCGCTCGGTAATTTCTTTAGGTGTGGAACGTGGGTTGTGGGATGTGTTCCTTTTTGTGGAAGGGAGAGAGAGAATATGCGCTCTTTGCGAATTCTCTTTTCTGTGTACCTTCGCAGAAGAAAACAATAGTTATTTAAAATATATTTTATCACTTAATTCTTTTTTCACTAGAGCACCTTCTCAGTTCTGTGACTTGACTTGTATGGTTTGGTACTGTGTTTTTCGCGCACTTGGAAAATACTTTTGGGGTATTTCCACTAGTAGTTGGTGCCATAAGCGGCGTACCAGAAAACACGTCACTTTCATTTCACTTCACATACATTATATGTTAACGCATCTGCTGCCAATTGACTTGTGATGCTTATGCTGAGACGATTGTTGTTTTCGTAGAACAATGTTTCAATTATTGTTGGTGACATATTCATATGTGAACGCATATGTATGTTTGTATGCTTGTGCATTATTTGTTCGGCAATGTATACAAATATAATTTCTGAACGCGCACATGCGTATACATACATTCATATGAGTATGTGCAGATACACAAGGTAAAATAGATGATGTATGGATATACTATACTAATAAATATTTAATTTCTATTAGTAACAAAAATATTTATTAGTATAGTATACGATGTCAAAGGCAGGAATTAAAAATAAATTCTATTGAGATTCGAACCTACTTTCACATCGTGACTTTCAATATTCTCTGTTTGGGCATATATGGCATGTCATTATAGGCCGAAAATGCATATATTTATTTCTCTTCATATTCTCTGTTTGAGTATGTGAGAGAACTGTTAAAAATGTTAACATTTCACATCGTGAAATCTGTGGTTTTGTGGTGAATTCCCTACTACAATCTTATAAAATGTTCGACATCGAACCTGCACCTTCTCTATGTTTTAAGTTTTCCGGTAAAAGTATGTGCTCTACTCTGCTTTGTAGGTGCGTGTAAGGCAAAAAACTATAACTGTAGCGATCAGTGTGACCATTTTAGCATTTCTGCAGCTAAATTTCGTTTTTTTTTTGTTTGTATTTAGACGCAAAATTTTCATTTAGCATTTAGCATTTKTCTTAGCTTTTTGCGATTATTAGTTTAGTATTTTTTAGCATTATTCTATCCAAAAAATTTCAAATGTTTTATTACTTTTTGTATAAATAAAATCTGATAATTTTTAGTTGACTGCACATTTATACATATAACCATGGCAATCATTTGCGTAGTGATTAAAAAATAAAATCTGGCATCACAGCTGTGTTTTCATTCATCTCTAATAAAACAAAATATAGCAATTTGTTTAACATAAATAAAGGAAATGTTGGTAGTTAACTAAAAAATGAAATTATGTGTAAATTTAAGTAATCATAATGATTTTTATAGGTATGTTAAAAGAAGTAACCTAAATTATTAAAATATTGACGTAGTTAGCAGTGACTCCGAAGAAAAGACGTGCTGGCCCAGCACCAGTAAGAAGTAAATAAATACTTACTCCGTGCGTTAAAAATGTACTAAAAATCATATACTCGTAAATATTGCAGAAAATATACCCAAAGAACCAGAAAAAGCTGGTTTAATGATCCGAAACTATGCAAGTGGATTGTCGAGCTAAATGATCAGGAGGTAAAGTGTAAATACTGCCATTGTACTTTAAAACCAAAACTAAGCACACTTCTTACTTATGGAAAAACTTCTAAGCATTTAGCAGCAGCATCGCGTTTCACAAAAAACAATCAAAATACACTCGATTTTCACCCACTAAACAGCAATTCCAAAGTAAAAGCAGCAGAATTATTAGAAGCTTTATATGTAGCGGTACACACTACGATAAGGTCAGCCGATCATTTGGCATGACATTGGGTCGAACAAAGTGTACTGCCCTCATTAAGTCAGTTTTGGCTCCCCATTTTCAAAACCTATTGGCTGAAGATATTAGTGACAACTTTTTCAATCTGATTATAGACGAATCTACAGACATAACTATTGATAAATATTTGGGTATAGTAATACGTTATTACAGTAAGTCTGCCAAACAAATTGTAAACACATTTTTAAACCTAAGTGCACTTGATGACACGTCAGCCAATGGAATATGCAAAGCCATTTTTAAAGTTATTAAGGATTTTAATCTAAAAATTCAAAACATGGTGCGCTTAGGAACCGTTGATGCCAGAGTAATGACTGGAGTTAACCGTGGAGTGATAGCAAAACTACGTGAAAAAGATAAAAACATAATACTAGTTCCCTGTATCTGTCCTTCCATTCAGCTTTCAGTGTCTTCAGCATCCAAAATGCTACCTGATGAAATTCAGTATTTGGTGTCAGAAACTTACAATTGGTTTTCCAAATCAACTTTGAGACACAAACATTATAAAAGCATTTACGCTGCGATCAATGAGGGCATGCAACCATAAAAATTGGTAAGAGCTTGTTACACTAGATGGTTGTCAATTGAATCAGCTGTAAATCGTATAGAAAGTCAATGGCTAGAGTTGAAAACTCATTTTGAAATTGCCGCAACGGTAGAATCGTGTCATTAAGCCAATATATTAAAAAAATTGTACACTGACAAAAATTTATTATATCTGAAGTTTTTGAAACCTTTGCTGTCAGATGTACAAAAAGTAAATAAAATGTTTGAAAGTAATAATGCTGACCTACTCTGTTGCTATCAGAACTACATGTTCTTTCGAAAGACCTTTCCTATCAAATTGTTTTAAAATCTGACACTTTTGATCCGTTTAATTCGCGCTTAGAAGATTGTTTGTTCCAACACCATACTTTATTTACAACTTTGAAGAATTTTTAAAATCAAAGAAAGATGTAATCAATTATGAAGAAGAAAATAAAATAAGAGTTACCGAAAGTTTATAGCTCAGTTAATATATCAGCTTAGACAACGATTGCCAGCAAATTTTCTAAATCTTTAAAAACGAAAAAATTTAAATTGCATGAACATTTTGAACAACAAATGGAAGATTTCACAGTGGACGAAATTACTATTTTAGAAAAGCAATGGCAAAAGCTAAGTACATATGAATGGGCAAACAAAAACCCAACAATTGATTTCTTGATAAGTGTATACGAATATAAAAATGCTTTAAATGAAAACTCGTTCCAAGAATTGTCTTCTTTTGTTATGAAGTTTCTAGTTTTACCATTTAGTTACGCCGAAGTTGAAAGAGTTTTCAGTGGCATGAACCTTATAAAAACAAAAATTAGAAATAGAATGATATTGAACACTATGAATTCACTTCTTTACATTAGATGCGGTTTGAAAAGGTTATGTGATAAAAACATGTATGATAATGATATTTCGACCGACTCTTCGGAAGTTGAGGAACAATATTCATTTGATAATGTATTTAGTTTATAATTAAAATATTTAACAATGTACTGAAATGCCATTAAATAACGATTTAAATGTTTATGTTATGTTTTTTTATATAAATATATATATACGTATGTATGTATGTACAAACCAATATGATATTGAATTGAATGATCACTTTTTCTTTTATGTTTCTAAGACTTTACGATTCTTTTTTATTAAATAAATAGTTTTTTTTTGTTGTTTGCCATGGCTCAACAATACATGGTTGAAGTACTACATGACATTGTTTTATTCTAATGAAATAACAATTTCTAAAGAAACATTGAATACAAAATTTTTAAAAAATTAAGGCTTTATAGTGATCATTTTATGTAAAAAACGTTTTTATATTTAGCATTATTTTTTGGAATTTTAATATTTTTTGTTTAGCATTTTTTAGCATTATTTTAATGCTGATTTAGCTGCAACACTTCTTTAGATCTGGTCACACTGAGGTGAAGTCATCTGTGATAAACCAGACGAACCTTTTGCCTAAAGTACCCACTTCGGAAGAGTGGTGGTTGGTCAAGCAACAGTGACCTTTCCTGCAAAGGAATCATTGCTCACACTCATCACTTCGCCAGACAGGCAGGACTGGTTGGCGGAACTGGTGTACAAGTTCTGTCAAATGGAGGAAATAGCGGTGGTTGACGATCTGATAGAGAACGCGTGTGAGCTAATTTCCGATACCACTCATAGCCGTACCCCAGACGGCCATTATATGTTACAGTTACCCTTACAGCGAAAGGTAACGGAACTGGGTGACTCGTACACAATGGAATTACAGCAATTTCATAAACTAGAGTGTCGTATGTTTGTGGGTCCAGTCCTTAGACAAAATTACATTTCATTTATGAGGGAGTAGACAGTACAACCACTTTACAATCACACCAATGGCAAAGCAAAGTTCCGCCTAGTGTTCAACTCTTCGTTACCAATCAGCACTGGAATCTCACTGCACGATGTTCAACAGGTAGGTCCGACGCTTCAGGATTCTTTGAGTAGTAGTATACTTTGGTAGTATAGTAGTATACTTTTGGCGATAACTGCGGACTTAGAGAAGATATTCATGCAAGTGTTGGTGGCACCTAGACATCGCGACTATCAACGAATTGTATGGCATGAGTCTCCTGCAGACGATATCCCAGTATCTCGCCTGAAGACTATCACAGCATGCAATACTTACAATGTGAAATGAACCCTAGAACAATGTGCTTATAACAATTCCGATGGTTCTTGACATACAAAAAGGGGCTCATGCTCGAACTGCGATATTAAGTTCGTTTTATGTTGATGACTTCTTAACAAGTTGTGAAAGCGTTATCGATGCAGTGAAGCTGGTTAAAACCGTGGCCGCCATTTGATCTGCGGAGAAGTTCACCGTAAATGGAACTCGAACGATAGTCAGGTGATAGGGAGTTTATCTAATAAGCCTTCTCTTTTCAGCTATATCTTCCATCCTGGGGAGACTTCTGTTTTGGGTTTAAGATGGGATGCACTGTCAGATAAGTCATTCTTTTGCTCCGAGCTACGTCAAAGAGAAGAGATACCCCGAAGCTCCGTGTACTCCGCGATGTTGATCCTATTGGATTGTTATCACCTGTTATCGTAACCGGGAAAGTATTCATTCATTGACTATTGTCTGCCGGTCTATCTTGGGACTCACCATTACCTGACGATTTTTGCCGCGAATGGCTGAAGTATCGGTCACGGCTCCCAGAGCTTAATCAAAGTCGTATCGAGCGGTGGACGGACATGATTCCACGCGTTGAAGCATCATTTCACTGGTTTTGCGATGCAAGCTCACCCGCGTATCCAGCGGTGATTTATGCGAAGACGTTGCACAAAGACGGTTCTGTACGTTTCACTCTTATGACGGCACGTACCAGAGTAGCACCACTCAAGGCTCCCACGCCTGGAACTTGCGGCAGCGCTACTTCTTGCCGAAACATTCAAGAACGTGCGGAAATATTTGGGACTAGTTGCCGTTCCGTACTATCTATGGTCGGACTCAGCTATCGTATTGTGTTGGCTGATCAAATCGTGTTCGTAGAATACAGGAGCTGACATCCCCCATGCGGTAGCATCACATTCGTTCTGCTCATAACCCATCTGCTTGTGCCAGTAAAAGCATCACATCTGGCGTGATATTAGTTCATCCACTTTGGTGGCATGGACTTAAGGAGGTAGAGATAATCTATTTGGACAGCAGTGATGTTCCTCTCAGCGAGGATGAGTCAGATATCTTACTCAATGAAACTCGAAATACGAACAAATTGATTGCAGTCGTGTCACATTCGTTATATACTCGTCGTCCAAATGGGCATGCCCATTCTGTTAACTGAACGGTTCAGTAATATCGATCGATTGTTAGGCACGGCGGCCATTATTCTACGTTGGTTAAGAAACCGTCGACACCTTCGCCAACCGGTTATCAGTGCTCAGGAACTGGACGACGAACTATACACTATAATCCGTTTAGACCAGACGAATTCCGACAATTGAAGTCTAGTTCAGGTTTGGCATCTTTTGGTCGAATAATTCCTTTAAATCCATTTATAGACAAGAACCGAAACCTACGTGTTGGAGAACACATTTATAAGGCCGAACTAGGACATGATCAACGATTCACTATTATTTTGCCAAAATCAACTCTGCACGGAGGAGCGTAACTTATGTTGCATACTCTTCGTCGCCGCTTCCGGATGCTGAGTTCCAGGCAAGCAGTCAAGGGTTTCTTCCTTAACTGTGTGGTGTATCGGCGTCACAGAGGTGGAGTCCTGAATCCTGGCTTTCTTACCCGGGCCGAGAATTAGAGAGTTAATTTCATGTGGTGTCGATTACTGTGGAACTTTTACACTACGAATCGGAACGAAATGCTCTCGAACGCCTATCAAAACGTATCTCGCAGTTTTCGTTTGTATGGTCACCAAGGCTGAACACATTGAGGTAGTAGATGACTTATCGTAACAAGCCTTTCTAGATGCCTTCACTCGTTTCTTCAGCCGACAGCATTTGTTGGTGGGAAGATTGTATGAAGGAAGATCACGCAGCATGGCAGGGTGAGAATAATCAGCGATCGTTAGCAAATTCGGGCACACATTGGCATTTCATTACACCCAGCGCAAGAATGCTTTTGGGAGTTTGCAGTGAAATCCGTTAAGCGCCATTTAGTACGCTGCGTAGGTGCGCATGCCATGTGGTATAGTCAGCTGCAGACGCTGGCTATAAGAATAGAAGCCTGGCTTAACTACTCTCCTTTTACACCACTCTGCGACAATGCTGAGGAGAAACTTGCGTTAACACCTGGTGATTTCCTGAATGGGTCTCCACTACTGCCGGTCCCCGAACCAGATATTAGACATATCCCTAGCAACTGACTGAAGCAATAGCAATGGATTCTTCAAATGCACCTGGTATTTTGAGAGCGATGGAGTGAGGAGTATCTAACCATTCTGCAGAGACGAAACAAATGGCTTCGGCGCACGAAGAATATAAGGCTGTCTGGGTCGAGTGACAACAGTACAACCTGGAGCTGATGGTGTGATCCACAGTGTCACGTTGAGAACAGCTAGAGGATACATGAAACGAGCCGTTCAGAAACTTTTGCTAGAGAAGGAGGATTTCGAGTCGACCGACTCGACCGGACAGGATGTTTAGGATTATTTACGTCACCTTAGGTTTAACACGCTTTCGTGTTGTTTTTTTAAATACTTTTTATTCATTTTGTTTGATTTATACTTTATGGTTTTTCAACAATCAATAAATTTGGTAAATATCGGCCATGTACAATTAATGATGTTTGGAATAGGACAGTACGATCGCAAAGGAAATAAAGGTGTAAAGAAAAATTGAAAAGATATATAAATTTGCTTTTAACATTGAATATCGTCATTAAGCATATGCAAATGCTTTTTGAGGACAAGTACCAAATTTCAGATAAATAATTTAGAAAATGACAATATTGTCGATTACCTTAAATGTTGCTCAATTGTGAAATTTCTTCCAGTGTATTATGTGCATTCATATAGCTTTTAATTCTCACAATAGTCCGAAACGTAGTTAGAAGTTATAAAAATATTAAATGGAAAGGAAATAACTGGTTGAGCGTCGATTCCCTTTTACCGCCTCTACGCGAATGCCACTCGTTGGGATGCTCTCTTGAAACTAAGGCTAAGCATTCAGGCTTGAAATTAACTATTTTCAAAGCAAAGCAGCAAAACTGTTCAGAGAAACAGCTGTGAAAGCGGTTTGAATATAAGTAGCCGTAAAGTTAACCGCTAAGTAGCTTTCTCTTCTTTAATACCGAATGAAGTGTAATAGAATGGTAACTGCTAAAAACCACTTTTCTAGTATGATTAGTCC